GCTGTAAGGAAAATCAATCCCACCTTCTCCAGTTTCTACAAGTAACTGAAAGTCCCTAATCCCTGGAAGCATTCTAGTCTTTTGTTGAAGTTGGCTGATTAATCCAGACTGTGAAGTGAACTTTTGAGTAGTTGATGCAAATTGTTGAAGCATTCTATAACAAGCTGAAGTATGAATGTGATATTCGTCATGGTAAAGTGACAGTGTCAACGTCATGTTCAGTACAAGTCATCCAGCCTCCATTAGAGACATTGCTCTATAATAATAACTGACAACTTCTGAATGAAATCAAAGCACTGAAATCAATGGGGTTGGGTTTGAGAGTTGTCAGTTAAATTAACTGTCACACAAAATCTCTGCAGTTGCCAGGAAACAATATATTCCAAATATTCTAAATATATTTGTAAATCTTGCCTCCTTGTAAATCTGCAGAAACCACAATAGTGATCATCAGATTAACCCTGTTACTTAATGCTAGCAGTGAACAATGATATATTCTAACCCAAGGGTACTAGATTGAACCACAGAGCAACAAAGCTAGGTTCATCTTTGTAGGAAGTTGGGCAATCATGAATTGATGATTGACATAAAATGAACACTGGGGTGTTGCTTTGCATCCATCAATGAGATGCTAGAGGGGAATAAACTAACAGAGGAAAAATAATGGGAGTCATAAGGGCCAGAAAACATCTGGTGTTGGACTTGTCTGAATTCGCCTCCATCAGATTAATATGAGTTTGGTCTCCAGATCAATTCCATGTCTCTTTACTTTCTGACCAATAATTGGCGTGAAGTCCATTTCCAGGTTGTCATCTTACATGGTATTCAGCATGCTGTAGCCTATCCTGCAGAGTGATAAAACCAATACTCGTGTGGCCAGATCCTCAACGGGAGGAGATCAAATCAGGTATTCAGGACAAACTTCTTGACCTTGAGAATAGTGAGAATGTGGAACTCACTTCCACAGGGAGTGGTCGAGGTGAATAGTATACATACAGTTAGGGAAAGCTGAATAAATCCATGAGAGGGAAAAGAATAGAAGGATGGAGTGATCAGGTGAGACAAAGAAAGATGGGAAAAGACTCATGGACCAGCTTCTCTGCTGTAACTTCAAAATAACTCTATCTACAATGGTTCTGACAACTTGCACGTGTGAGTCCGACAAAAGTTTTGTCAGTATTTGGAAATATTCTGCCTGATGAATAATGTCTAAAGGATGCCCTGTCTCTCTCAGATGTATTAAAATAAACCACTACGAACATACATGAATATTTCTACCCTCTGATTATCCAATAGTAAACAATATTTTGACTGGTTCACAAATCATAAAACATCAGCAGATGTTTTCATTTGTTTTGATATTGTGAATGATCAGGATATAAATTGTGGCTTTGCTACAGTCTTTAGTCCATAACTCTCCACTTCCCTGTCAATGTCCAACTGACCAAAGGAACACATTTAATATGCAAATGAAAAGCGACTGCGATGTGAAAGCAATTTCGTTTTCTTTATTTATAATGTCAGCATTAAAACTATTGAAATGGATATCTCATAAATTATTTAGTACCTGCAATTTTGCAAGCCTCTTGTCATTCTTCCTAATGTCAATGGAATATAACAGGGAGAACAATGAATTGGGATCTGAATTATTCGTTGCTAGGCTACAGTGGTTTGGTACGGGGGGGAGAGGAGAAACAGTTATTTGTAGTGAATGCGTAGGCAGAATGAGATTTGTTCTTTCAGGTAATATCAGAAGTCTGTTGTTTCTTGTGTTTTGGCACAGCACCACAAACGAATTCTTGAAAACCTCCTTTTATCCGACAGCACAGCCCTGCTGTTTGCAATTAGGGTGGTTTCAGATGTAAATGAGACAACTCCATGCAAATATTACAAAGTTTCAACCCATTTTAACACAGACACAATTAGGTGTGTAAAAGGTCAATAAAAATTATCATCAGTCCCATATTGTTGGTTAATTAAGGCTAGACAGCTGTTGCAAAATTATCTTTGTCCCCAAGTGCGCAGGTAAGAAAGAAGGTGGCAGGACTGTGAAAGCCGAGTATCAGTCCTGAGGTGTTCATAGTGGATGGTAATTTACACAATCCCCACACAAACTTCTGAGCTTTTAGCCCAATATCTGTCAATCACAGTGTGGAGGTCACTGCCGTAAGTTACATAAGCCACAGTGAAAACAAATGTTTACAGAGATTCCACTTGGAAATCAATAGATGTAGACTGATTTTTATTATATAGGGGTTAATTTAACAAGTGTGGTACTAGTAACGGGTAGGAACATGTAGTGAGCAGGCCAGTGATTTCCTGATGTGTACTCCCAGAGGCTGAGGCTACTTGCCAAGAATGTGTGTTTATAAAAGCAGTCCTGTGTTAGAAAGAAATTATTTCATGACAAGTGCAAGAATCTTTCATTTAAGCACTTTGCAGTATGTTAAGTTTGTTCAAATCAAGAGACCTAGGATTAGTCCCCTTAAAACAGGATAAATTAGGAGAACATTGAATTGAGGTGTTCAAAGTCATGAATCCTTTTTAAAGAGTAGATGGGGAGAAATTGTTTCCATCATCAGGAGGGTCAGCCACCAGAGGACACAGATTTAAGGTCAGTAGAAATAAGAAGTTGAGACAAAATGTGAAGAATTTTTCTTGATTTGCTGGAGAATTGGATAGATACAAATTAGGAACAGGAAGATGCCTTCAGCCCCTCAATCCTGCTCCACCAATCACTGTTAATTTAACAGTTAATTTAGTAAGAACATAACTAATCCAGCCATGCCACATTCTCATCTGCCTCTGCTACTCCCCCCCACCCCCGTCAATAACCTATCAACCATTTGTTTATCAAGATTTATCTATCTCTGCCTTAAAAATATTGAAAGATTGCTTGCACCACTTTTTGAGGAAGATTGTTCCAAAGACACTGTGAGAAGAAATTGCACCCAATCTGTCTTCAATGGGCCCTTATTGTGAAACAGTGACCCCCTAGTTGTAGAATTGAGGGAGAGAGAAGTTGAGAGGTATTAGTGTTTGGAACTGGACAGAGCACAGGCATGTTGGAGAGTTGTGTGGCTGAAGGAGATTGCAGAGTTAGGGAT